AATCTTCAAGTCCTTGCTTTCAGCACCCTTTTCTAACCTTTAGAAAACAACATAATAATCTGCCTTTTTTTAAGGGTTGCCAGCTCCAAAATTCATCCTAAGCAAAATGCTAGCAAACAATCAGGGAAGAGTATTCTTATTTCATCAGTGCTTTCTCTTTCTTACCCAGACAAAGAAATGTTTCTGCGGAGGATAATACACAATGTGGCCAAAGGATTGAACAGCCCAAGGAGAGAGCACCACTTGTATGTTCTGCATGCAAGGTAAGCAAAGCAAGCACCTCTGTTAATCAATCTAATTTATATAATTGAGACTGCAAATTAGAGAAAACAACCCAGTGACAAACTATTGTAATTACACAAAATCAACCAGTGAACTAATTGAAGTGACAATCTGTCAACAAAATTCATATATTTAAACACTGTGCTACATGCAGTAATTATAGAGGGTTACCCTGGTGAAAACCTCCCATTTTCTTATGGTGGGAAACAAGGGGAACTACACTTCCAGTGCTGCGTTTTTTAAGCCTGACTTTGAAGGCAATGGAAAGGTAAGATGATGTCAGTATTCGTTTGGGGAACAAACCAGTGCCTATGCCAGTTAGCTAGAGCAATAGACACTGGATCAGATGCTGGAAACTGCAAAGTCTTCTGATGTAAAATCCTGTTTCACTGGAATATAGTAGAGGAACCCTTGTGTCGTGAGGTCCATAGGATCCAAACTGAATGAGCAGAGGATCTTACTGTTCTATAAAATGTCATCAACAGTGATCCATGTGGTATCATGTGTACTATTGGATTAGTTTTGATAAGGCTGACCTAAAGCATGAAAGAGTTAAAGGAATGTGTGCTGGTCAAGTTGGAGTTGCGTGAAACTTGTCACTTTTTAAAGTGTTTTTTTTAAACCTTAAGTTTTTGACAAAAAAATGGATATTTTAACTTTTCCAAATGTTTTCCTTTGTTTTTATCAGCTCAGTAGTAATTAAGGATGCTTCTAAATTCTGTGAGGTTGTAAATAACTACTTTTTATTCACGGGGAATTAAGGGTGAAGGGTTGGGTGACTTGTTGCTTGTTTATTTAGATGTGTAGAGGCCCATGAGTGCAAAAGGGAGCTCTAGATGCTCATGATAAAAATATATCCTACATTCTGCAGTATGATTTAATATAACTCATTGCCAGCAATGCAAGCAACGTTAAAACTCAAATCCCTTTCAGCAGTTTCTCACCCTTAATTTTGGTTGGACTAATTTGCCCCAGGCCTAACAGACTCAGTTTTTTCACCTCAACGTTCAGTAGTTCCTTACTCAACAAGTTGTCTAATTAAAATGAGTAAGAACATGTGCAGTTCAGAGCATTCCTGAATGTAACTAGAGGGTGGAAGAATCCAACAAGAGCCCTGCTTCTTTACTTTGAGATCACAAAATTCCTCTCTACGCGAATGATGGAAAAAAAAATACCCCCCACTGCAAAGTTAAAACAAGCTGTAATACTAATAATGCTCCACGTTAACACTTGCAAACAGCTAATAGTAGAAGCAGAAGCCAAAAGGAAAATACAACTGGGGAGTTGTTCAGGTTCCCAACAGCAAGAATTTTTATTATCTTTATAAGACAAGCCAAGACAGTATCAAAAACAATGCCAAGACACAGTTCACCCTGATAAAGCTTTTACGTGCATGTTTAGGAGGAAAAAAATACAGAAAAGAGATTGCAAATTTCAGAGAACTGCCTTTAAGCAAGCAATATTTATTCACTTGCTGTCAAAAATCTAAATGCTCCCAGTGCCAACAAAGAAATAACATTCATTTACGCTAACATGCGTTAAATAAAGCCCTAGAGAGAGGCAACCCGTAAGGGCTCCCTCGTGAATTTGACCATTGGCAACTGCGCTAATGGGACGGCAGTGGTGATGAATGCCAGTGGTGCACAGCAGTCAGTCAGAAGGTTTCAGATGCAGTTTTACCCTGTATTCATGCATTGTTGCATTTGTATTGATCTCTGGAAATCTATAACACAGATATACAGGCAGAGCTGCCTGAAGTGGCTGTTCTGAAAGATTTGGAGACCAGAACTTGGGTAGAAGAAGTCACACGATTGTTCCACAACTGGTTCCCAGGCAAGTCCATCAGATACCAGGCGCAGGACCTTCTCGTGAATCGGGTCTAGCAGTGTCTTTCACTTCCTTCTCGTCAAAGAACAGTGAGAGATCTGTGAAGTTTGCTCTGGTAATAACTATAAGCACAGTTTGTAATCAGTAGTTTCTGGTGGTTTTGCTGATGTGGTTTGACCCCATATTCCTCCTTTTCCCTCCAGGGAAAAGAGAGGTTAGTGGATGTTATTTCCTAGTTGAAATCCACGTCTGCATCTGAACTGTGACTGCAGATTGGTGTCGCTTGTAGATTGGGACTGAGTCACTTGTAAGCACCTCGGATAAACAATGGTAGGTGCAGAACTTCGGAGTTAGGAAGACAAATTCCTAGACTTAAATGTGGTTCAAGTGCATGCATAGACCTGGGCCTGGCTTTCTTCAAAGGGGTCATTTTCACCCCTTAAGAGACTTCCTATGTCTCCTTCAGTCAAAATTTGCAGATGTTATCTGTGAAATGCTTGATTGCATGTATAATTTCACTAGAGCTTAATGGTTTGGGAGGACAAAATAATGTCACAAATGTAGTGCAGGGCAGGGGAAAATACCCGGGAATTTTCTTTTCAATCTGAAAATCTGTGAAGCAGTGAAGATAGAATTATCAAAAGCAGTTACCCTATTTCTCATCAACTCCTTCATTTACTCCCACAGCAGAAGCAGAAATAGACCAGCACCCAGCACTCTTGAAAATAATGTTTTTTTGGCAGGGGAGGCTTTCTTTCAATACCGAGGAGCCAGAATCTACCCAATTTTGTAAGGAGTTCCATTAACATCAGTTGTAGAATATGGCCTCTGAACATTTATTATACAGTTCCTTTTTTTGAAACATTCACATCATGATTTTATTGTTTATTCATTTGTCCTTGTGTTCTGCGTATGCACAGTTGTCATGGAAATGCAGTCTCCATCCTTTGAGTGATGCTCTGTCACCTCCCCCTTTGCTCTCTTCCCTTTCTAAGAGGATTCATGGCTGGAAACTTTTTTCTGTGGACCACATGTTTATTTTAAATCCTCTTTTTCCCCCCCGTGTGTATCTGCAGAGAGAAATACATAGTGTGTAGCCATTCAGCAAAGACTAAATCTTGCTTCAGCAAGAGTTATACAAACACATTTAACTTGTTTACTGAACAAACATATCTTCACAAAGCTTTGAGTTATACTGTTGACTTCCACTACAATGCAGAGTGGAAATGAGAACTAGGATAAAACTGGAGGATAAAGGAGGAGGAGGAATAATAAAAATGCCTTTTTTTTTTTTTTCTGAAGAACAAAGCTATTTTACATTCAGTTGTTCTCCTCCCTCCCTGGTAGTATATATATATTTAGGATGACTTAAGAATACTTTAGAGTTTTAGATGTGTTTTGCAGAATGCCTGAAATTCTGTTCTCTGAATTGCTTGACTAAGTACAGTAATGTCATGGGTATTGTCCTCTGTTACTGAAGAGTCTCAGTCTCTTGGTTTTCAGTGTGTTTATCACCCGCAATGCCCCGTGAGGCAAGGAATTGCTGTTCCCCCCTTTTGTAGGTGTGGAGAACTGAGGAAAAGAGAATCAAAAGCTTAGCTCGTTAAAGGTATTTAGTCACCTAGCTCAAAAGAATTAATGCCAGTGGGCATTAAGTGCCTAAACACTTACATTTTGGCCTTAGGCTCCTAAGTCAGGCAGGGTTTGTAATGTTGAGAAAAGTAGCACCTGAATTGCTTTGTGAAAACCTGGGATCTGCATAGCAGAGTCAAGAGTCCCAAACAGATGCCCTACCACTGGGCCATCTGTTCTCTTCTTTGCTTAAATCTAAGAGCAGGTTATGTCCGGGGCGCTGTGAACTATTGCAGCCAATACTTGATCCTTTATCATAAGTATCCCCGGACATAACCTGCATTGTAGTGGAAGTCCACAGTATCACTCCTGTGTTAGAGGCCATTGCAAGACCTATGAACCATGTGAATGAGTCCCACTTACTCCAGAAAGGTCAGCAGATGAAAAATGTCTTGAACACAAGCAGTGAGAGGGGTGAATGTCAAAGTCAAAGGGCCCTGGTGGGGCTGGGATGCGGGGCGTTCTTTTCTGTTGTTTCTAGGAACCCTAGATACAAACTCCTCCACTGATTGCAGGCCTGGTTGTATGGCTTATGAGAGAGCAGTGGAAGATAAGTATCCAGGGGTAAAGAAGGGAAAGAGGGATACGTGGAATAATGGAATAAAAATTCAGTGCTGTGTCTTCCCACAGAGCTGTATATGTATCTTTGTCATTATTTGGGTATATGTACGCATTTTAGACACTCATGGAATGATAGTCTCCTTCCCATCCTCAGATACAAAAAAAAATAAAATAAAAAAATGGTACGCTGTACTGCACGGCATTGTCTTTTAGCGCACGGCTATTTCAGAGTTGTTGTCTGAGTTCTGAACAAGTGATAGATTTGGGCATCCTGCTCAGTGAACTGAGTAGACTTTTCATGTTCAGATAATACGCAACAAGCAGAAACTCCCATACCATGTCCTGCCATGTTGGAGTATATCTCAGAATGGGATGGGGGATAAAAAAAAAAAAAAGCAAATCCCAAAAGAAATGTCCTTAAGATGAACAAATTCAGTGAAGTCATTTTTTTTCTTTTGAAAGAGAAATCCTATTCCTTTCTTTAATTAGACTGAAATATGTCAATGAGGAGGTTGTGTTAGACTGTTTAGAGAAGGCAATTTCTTTACCCGTAGTAAAATTCTTCTTTGTGCAGAAGACCAGCATGAGTCCTAAGCCTTTATTCTCTGGGCTTAACTGGGATTCAAGTGACACATGGATCTTTGAACACTTTGCACTAAAGTGGCCTTGTTTTTGCCACCTTTTGACAGTTTCCTAGCCCAGCAACTGAAAATAGGAGCCGTTTGTATTAATTTCCCCTTATAATGTAAATACACAGCAGAAATTAAGAATACTAAACCCTTTGGGGTAGAGGCTAATTCCATACTCTGGTTTTGTTCTGCATCTAGTACTAAGGCACCCTGATCTGCTTGGGTCTCAAGACTAATACAGTAATAAAAGTTATGCTGCTTGGGTGGCAACTTGAACATTAAGCTGATAAAATCACAGATGGCTCAGTTATTTTTGTTATATATAGTTTGAA